CCAAATTCGGTGCCAATGCCATCCTGGGAGTGTCCCTGGCTGTCTGCAAAGCTGGTGCTGCAGAAAAGGGGGTGCCCCTCTACCGCCACATTGCTGACTTGGCTGGCAACGCTGAAGTCATCCTGCCAGTCCCAGTGAGTGACTTGTTAGAACTTGCTAGAGGTATCCCATCCCAGTTCTGTTGCTTGCTACAGAACCATACTTGAAGAAGCAAGTTTAGGGAAAAGCTTGTTTTCCACACAACGGTAAACACATCCATCCTAGCAGGGAAGTCACGGCTGAAGTGTATCAGCACATTCACAGGCAGAGGCAGAAATGAGGCCAGGCAGTGAAAAAAACATAAGCACACCAGTCTTAATCTGTGGGATGAGTCACTGCAGGATTCCAGACTAGAAAGGGCAGTTAAGCTGGCATTGCTGGCACACCTTTGACCCCAGTACTCAGGAGACAGGCAGGCGGGTGCATGGGTGGGTGACTTTGAGGCCAGCCTGGTCTACAGATTGGAGGTGAAGACAGCCAGGGCTATATAGTGAGACCTGTTGGGAGGGTTGAGTATAGACACACCAACTAATTACTTAGCTCCCCTCCACCCTTATGTAATCCAGAACCCAAACCCAGGGAATGGTGTTATCCACAGGGGTCTACTTCTATTTCTAATCGCAACAGACATGCCAGTAGGCCGGATGATCTAAATAGATAGTCCCTCTAGGACTCATTCTAATTGGTTCTCAATCGTGTTAATACTAATTATTAAGATTACAAGTTTGAGTGTCACATCATGGAGCCCCACGAAGACCCTGTGCATCGAGTCTTTTATAATTAGGACTCACAGCACAGTGATAAGAGAATCCTGACACGGCACAGGGCCCGGCCCACACGGGCCTGATAGCAGCTAGCTGGGTAGGCTTCCCTGGGCCGGCAGCACAGCTCTCCTCTGCTTCTCCCAGGCTTTCAATGTGATCAACGGCGGGTCTCACGCTGGCAACAAGCTGGCCATGCAGGAGTTCATGATCCTCCCTGTGGGGGCGTCCAGTTTCCGCGAAGCCATGCGCATTGGGGCAGAGGTTTATCACAACCTGAAGAATGTCATCAAGGAGAAATATGGGAAGGATGCCACCAATGTGGGTGACGAGGGAGGGTTTGCGCCTAACATCCTGGAGAACAAAGAAGGTAAGCATTGAACTGTATAGCACTGCCCCCTCATACCTGCCAGTTTGGGGACGGGATCAAGACCGATGGCAGCCTTTAAGGAGGAAAGCAAGAGCTTTGAGTGTAGTTTTTTCCCCCCAGTTTCATGGGTGACTTGAGAATGGTCCTAGATCTCTTAGAGCTGGAGTTACCCATGCGGTGCTGGTGATTGAACGTGGGTTCTGGAAGAGTAGCCATTGCTCTTAACCACTGAGCCATCTCCAGCAAGCCAGCTGGTCCCATTTTAATTTTTTGTGTGCGTTCACTCAATTCTTCCACTTTGGCCTGGGGTACTGAACTTGGGTGTTGGGTCTGATGACAAGCACCTTTACCAGCCGTATCTCTGGCCCTCTGTGGCCTCTTTGGCCCGTTTTAAATGAGCTTCATTGTGCATTCACCTTCGAGCTGCCGAGGTCATTGGCAGGTGTCAGGAGCCTTGTGTCTCAGATCTTGGCAGCTTTGACTTGAGGTGGCCCTTGCTGAGGTTTCCCTCTTGGATTCCAGCCTCTGTTCTATTTAAAGCCAGTCCTCAGGACAGCTGATCTCTGTTGCAGCTGTCACTCCAACTGCATCTTCGCCAACAGAACTGCCATGGCATAAGAAGAGCTGGGTTAGAGATTGCTACTTATGGGTCCATGGTCCCTCACCAGTGACCTTTTGACCCAAGCAGGAATGAGTGCCTGACAACCTGAAACTCACAGCCAGGACAGTCCCCATTCGGCACCTGTTACCCACCTTTGCCTCGTCTCTTTCCAGCTCTGGAGCTGCTGAAGAACGCAATTGGAAAGGCTGGCTACACTGAACAGGTTGTCATCGGCATGGACGTGGCCGCCTCTGAGTTCTTCAGGTCCGGGAAGTACGACCTGGACTTCAAGTCTCCTGATGACGCCAGCAGGTACATCACCCCTGACCAGCTGGCTGACCTGTACAAGTCCTTCATCC